GGCAATCCCTGAGAAGGCCGTGGCGTCCGCTCCGGAACTACTGGCCAGACGCTCGTCTGGTCCTTTCTAACGGCGGCCTGCATCCACTGGGATTGTCTGGCCGCACGCTTAGTCCGGAGCCTCCCAATCGTGGCTGGTTTGCTCTTCCTCGCCCGATCTTGGCCATTCGCGGATAGGAGGCCTTTCCTCGGTTCCGGGATTGGAAAGCAGATACGGGAACAAGGTCGAAGATTCGGAAAAGCAAACAAAACCTGTATAAATCACCAACGGCTTTGCGTTGCTTTGGAGCCGGACGGTGGGATTCAGAAAGGGGGTTCTCCAATCGAACCAAGACCCCTCGCCACCTCCGGCAAGACGATACGATGGCGCACTCGCCAAACGACAACACTCCCTTCTACGAGTATCTCGTGGATGACCCGGAAGTAAGTATCTCAACCGGCTTTGTATTCCACTTTTCTCCATTCGGTGCCTTGCTCCCGGGAGCGAGGCCTTCAGGGGCTCTCATTTCTTGCGGTCAGGCCTCAGATCAAACGACCAGCTCATTCCACACCATACCTCGTTGCTCCCTTCTTCATCTGCCGACCTGAGCGGCATATGAATGTGACAAGGCAAGCGCTAGACCAAGCGATCAGAGGCGCGAGTGAGTAGATGATGCCACGCGGGTAGCACCAAGCTGGGCCAGATTCCTCCCCTCCCCCGTAAGCCTCCGCAATGAGAAGTCAAGCCACGATGCAAGGACCATGCAAGACTCTCTACATTATTTTGTCTGTCGGTGGTCGCCTCCGGTGCTTAGTATGGGATATGGGCGGGAGGCGGCGGAGTATCAAGGAGCTGAAAGTCTGTGTGCCACCCGGGATGGGGCGATGGCAAGGTGATGTTCTCTGAACAAGCGTTCGGCAAACTGATGAGACAGACGGCGATGAGGCGCAAAGGAGTAGAGCAGGCCGTGTTCTCGAGAACCACAGGTCCTTTCGCCAAAGAAAAAAAGAATTGAAGAGAGAAAAAAGTCTGACGATTATTTCTATCAGCAGATGATAGCTTCGACGCCGTTGTCCCCGCACTTCTCTCCCGAAGTTTTCGGAGGGGCTTTCGACGTCGGCGACCGCCAACACCACGCCACTCGGCCCGGTAATCAGACCACCCAGCTGAGTCCAGGCCACAATCGGCCCAACGCCATCAATGAATCGACCACAGCGACACCACTTAATCAGGTCCAGGCCATTGCAGGTATTCCTGGATTACCCATACCCGTATCCGTACCGACGGCGCAATTCCCGCAAATTCATAATCTCGGAGGACTCCAGCACCTGAATCAGCAGCACCAGCAAAACCACCCTCAGCTCCATCCTTCAGCCCTGGGCCTGGGTCTCGAGTCGGGTACTCTGGGGTTGACACATGCAGAGGGCAACCAGGGTCTTCAGCACCAATTCGGTCCAGCGGCAGCGCCTGCGCCTAATATTGCTGCTGATCAGCAGGGGACGTCGTCGCATCTCCATTTGCAGGGCCATCAACGAACACCCGCCCACGCCGCCGCCGCATGGCTTCCGCCCGGATATGGAGTCCCGGTGTACCACAACAACCCGCAGCAGCATGTTGATGCAACATCCTCCTCCACAACAGCAGCAGGTGTCAACCCACCTGTCACTCTTTCTCCAGCGGCCGGCCTGAGTACTGATGGCAGAAGCCAGAATGTTGGTGTTGGCGGTGGTCACTTATTTGATTTCGGATTCGCACCACCACCACTACCGCCAACGAGTGAGCAGTCGTTCCTGGGCAGCGGAGTCTATGCCGACATCACGCCACTTTCCACCACGGTAGCTGTAACAGCTCACCCGCAACCACCCACGACCACTTTTGATTTCCATGCTTCGCCATGGCGGCCTCGGCTTCAAGACAGCAGCTCCGTCACACTGACACCAAATATTGCAGCAGTCGCTGCGGCCGAATTGAACCACGACGTCCGCAAGCACAGCAAAAGCAGCATGGAGACTGATAGCGACGTCAAGGACCCTTCGTGGGATGACGATGATAACGAGCCTCAAGATAGAAGGGCCGGAGCTGTGGCAATGAAGGCGTCGTCGTCGTCATCGTCGCCCGGGACCCGGAAGCCGCAGCGAAAGGGCAAGCGCCGTGCCGTAGCCGATCCCGGAGCCGGTGGCAACGAGCACGATGACGAACCCACCAGCCCCGCGGGCCGAACCAGCGTCAGCGGCCGATCCGTCAAGTCGGTATCGGTCGCCTCATCCGCCGGGTCGAGCACCAAGACGGCACCGGCACCCCGACTGCGCAGTGCCTCCCGCACGTCCAAAAACGCGCTGCAAAAGCCGACCGAGTCCCTCGAAGAACGACGAACACGCGCATCACATAACCTGGTCGAAAAGCAGTACCGTAATCGGCTCAATGCTCAATTCGAGGGTCTCCTCAATGCCCTACCGGAGCAGGTCCGCGGCCCGGCCGGCGCCGGAGACGGCGACGAATCGGACCCGCAGGCGGCAGCGACGGCGAATGAGGAAAGGCGGGTCAGCAAGGCCGAGGTGCTGGACATGGCCCGCCGCCACATCCAGAACCTGGAGCGGGAGCGGGAGACGCTACACCGCGAGAGGGGGGAGCTGCTGCGCAATCTGGAGACGCTCGAGCGGGAAGTGGCCGTAAATGGCGGCGGGGGCGGCCGGTTGGACGAGTTCCTCGACGTCGAAGGGGTTCCGGACGAGAGAGGCGAGTCGTCTTCGTCGTGGAGGAATGCTTGAAGTGTATTGTCGTTGACACCTGCGCGAACCCCCCCCCCTGCCTGCCTGCTGCGAGACTATTCTTTGATGGCGGTGGTGGTGGGTGTGAAGCCAATGCAGTGCACTTCTGGAAAGGGGGGAGCGCGTGAGCTCAAAATCTCGGAGGCAAGGGTGCCGGGGGTGGTGGGGGGAAGGGTTCTTTCGGAGTGTCGCCGACCGTCCGAGAACACGCCGCGTGCGGGGGGAGGGAAACATCAAACCATCACATTGGCAGCGGCGGTGTTGTTGCTCCCGTCTCAGATATCGACGCCGGTTGGCAGGAGGGTGCCATCCCGCTCCACGGGTCCAGGATCTTTTCTTTTCTTTTCTCCGTCTTCTCTTCTTCTACCCTTTGGTCCCGCCAAGTTTTGCTTTTGGTGTCAGTTCTTTCTGTTCTCCATGTTTTTTCTCCGCGGACAAATTGTGACGGCGGATGAAATCAGTTTCATAAAGGCGGGAAGAGTCAAGCTTGATTGGACGCAGATGATGACTACCGGGATATCGGCAGCCCGCATGCCGGGGGGTTTTAGGAGAGAAGGTTAGAATAGGTTGTGGACTGAAGTGGTGGATGAGAGGCAAGCACAGGCGGGATACAGGAGGACATCGCGAGGGAGAGGGGTTACAGAGGTGGGTGGGAAGAGAAGAGCGGGAGGAGAGGGAGGTGGTGTGCATCTCTGCCTGCATGCGTATTCACGGGCGGATGGGCAGAGGGATGAACAAGGTGCTTCAGGAGGATGGAGGAAGAAATAGGGCGTGGTGTGTAGGCTGAGGATGTGTTTTCCGTCAGAATGAGGGTTGGACGGAGCTTGTAATTGACGGTGATTCTGGATTTTGGTTCTAGGGCCATTTTCCAACTGCAAAAAATTCTTGAGGGATTGTCAATTAGGGTGAGGTAAACTTCATTTGGTCACACGAAAGTATATAGAAAGAGACATATCACGACTTTGCCGATGCTTCTTCCATGCTTGACTACTGACTGCAGTAGAAAATAAACGGTGAACGCCGCAGTCTCTTCATGAACATCTTCCGCAAAGTCGGGGGTGGTATACATTAGCTTGGTTTGCACTCCAAGTATGTCTGTCTATCCTAGCCATCCGAAGTATTGACAAGTCGATGTGTTCGTCATGCAGAGTACACAATGCGGGCACGAGTCTAGACCAACCTACCTACATAGCCGGTTCCCACTCCTCCTCCGCATCGAAGCTACTGAGGTAAAGGTGTGTCGACTACCGAATGCATAATGCCCATCACCAAACTACGCAGCACGCCAACCAACAGCTCTACCGTACCCAGCCAGAACCTGATGGTTGCAAAGAGAGTGCATGCATCTCCCCAAAAAATGTCAGTATTTTTCATGCGAAGCGTCACAAGGGTTTATTGCTCTACCTTAGTAATAACCAAAACCTCGGCATGTTTTTGATCGCGTGGACTGGTTTGTGGTGTGTTGCTATTCCCTCAACCCCACCTTTTCGCCAAGTTCATGCCTCTTTGCAATGTACCTAAGTCTGATCATATGCCAAACAGTCAAGTCGATGATTGGCGAGCTCTTCGCAAATTAAATCATTGAATAGGACAGAAATCAATAGCAAGAGTGAGTGGGACAAGCAATAGGAGTCTTTTTTCTTTTTTTTTTGGTTGAAATTCTTGTTCGGAGCGATCAAAGGCTTGCATCCGAACCGCGATGAAATAAGGTAACCTCCTTTTTTCAACCCAAAACTTCCAAAGCTGGGAAACAACTTCGTTTCTCTCGCTCTGCGTGCCCCTCCAGGGGCGCAGATAACCCTTCTCGTGATCACACAGATGCATAACACCATCCCTCCGTTGGGTTCGCTCTCTTCCGCGGCTCCATTCCTCCCAATTTTTTTAACAATTGTTTTTTGCTTTTCTGTTCCCTTTCAACCCTGCTTTTCTCCATCTTGAAAACAACAAGCGGTTTGTCATAATCCATCAAATCATAACCCCGGCGGAGGTTTAAAATCCCTTCCGGTGGGTTTTTGTGCCCGCGCCCTTCTTTTTTTTTTTTGTACAACAAAATAACAGTATCAGTAGTATCAGTAGTAGCGGTAGTGCTGGTGGTGGTGGTGGTGGTGGTGGTAGTATAGTAAGAGTGAATCCTTCGGAGCGGACTGTAGATAGATGTAAGGAAACTGTAGATCGTTGTGTGCGTTGCGCTGGTGGGCGTCATGTGAGTGTGTGTGTGTAGCGAGTGATGGTTGATGGTCGGAATAGAAGAATGACCAAACCGGATTTTTGGTCTATGTTGTAAACGAAATGATGAGAGCCCAGGTGATAACTCCTCCGAGATATGCCAAGAAAGTCTATACGAATCACGACCGTCTTGAAACGCCGTGATATGTCGAGAAACAAACAATAAGGTGTAGAAGGTTTGATAGTGTGGTGCGTCGCCCCGCCATTGCGGGACGGGGAACGCGCGAGCGCGCGCGCGCTCAGGTGTGAGTGTGTGTCTATGGAGCAAGATATATGAGATGTGTTGTGAGGTCGTGATGTGGTGTCATGGGTCGGAAGGTGTACTCAGTCGCGAGCAGTCGTTCAGATGCGGCTGCCGGCATAGAGAGGCGGGAAAAGGGCGTACTGCCCAGGCGGGGGCGGGGCGCTCAGGGTTTGCGCACGTTGGCGTCGGTGCTGCTTCACCGGCTCCTTCATCTTGGCAAGCGGGAGAGAGTCCTGAGACAAGCTGGCGTCGATGCATCCGGAAGCGGCGCGGATGTCACCCGTGGAACGCGACATGGTAAGAACCTCCTCGGATTCCGGCAACGGAGTCATGGTGGACTTTCGTCCTCTGGGCGACCCGAGATCCGCAAAGTCATCGGCACTGAAGGAACGCGAATGGTCACTACCCTCAAACTTCGGGTTCCAACCCTCAAAAGTTGTGCTTCCCGTATATCTGGTGAGCGCCGTCCATGTCGAGTTGGTCGATGTATGGCGAGCCTCGGTCAGGCTGGTTTGGCTGGACGAGTTGCTGCCGGTTGTTGAAGTGCTGGCACGGTCTCTGGCGAATAGTCCAGGCGTTTCAATCGTCAAGACGGGCTCCTCGTCAAAGGCGAAGTGGCTGGTGTCGTGTCTCCCCACATCCATGGGATACGCGTCAGTGTCCGAGTCTGCCAACATTTGCTGGCGGAAATCCGTTGGAATGAGAAGAGATGGCGAGAGGTTGAAGCCGTGGGACTCCTTAAAGCTCGATGCTCGCGACGCTGTCCTCACGTGGAGATGGGAGGTGCCCCGGTAGTTCGTCTCCTTTCTGGGATGAGAAAAGTTTGACCTTACAGGCAGCGCGGCAATGGTAGGAGTGATTGCTTCGTGTCCGTTGACGGAAGTCTGACTGGCGGGGCTGAGGGCTGGCATATCGGAGTGTCCCAACGTCGATGCCGGCTTCAGATCAGCCGAGAGGGGTGCGACGAAGATGCCATCGTTGTCAAAGGAAGTCTCTATAGAGTCCTCCCTCACGATATCCAAAGACGGCCGGTCCCACGCGTAGTCGCAATCAGCCTCAGCTTCGTGCTCGTAGCAGTAGTCAATATCATCCTCCCAGCTGGCTCGGTGAGAAACAGCAGACGGCCCATCAACCTCCAAAGCTTCCTTCAGAGCATTCTGCGCGGCAAGCATGTCGAAGCTGCCAAGCGTGTCCGATGCGCCGCTTGATGGCCGCCTAAACTCGTCCTCTGGCGTCTGAGGCACACTCTGGCGCAGAGCAGGCACAGACTGGCTTCCTCTAAGCGACGAACGAGTGCTGGCCAAGCTCGGGCCAGACTGTCGGGACAAAACGAACTGCTCCTCCTCTTCAGGCACATCAGGCAATGCCATCTCATAAGAGACACTGGAGCTTGCTGTGAGTGGCCACGCAGCATCGTCGGGAGTGGTGATCGCATGAGAGAATCTCGGGTCTGCGAAAGGCTCTGCTTCTTCGGAAATTGTAGATTCAGTGAATTCGATCGGTGCATCGAGAGTGCTTGGCAAGTGAAAGCCACTGCTGGTCTGGGGGCGTTCTGGGAACATATCAATGGTGGCGAGCGAGTCTTCTGAAACGGTGTAATGCTTCATGATGCGGCTTGACGATCTGGGGGGAGGGACAGGTACAGGCGAGCCTGGCAGAGTTGGCGAGACAATCTCCTCGTTAATGGGTGACCGGGGTGGCCGCGGAGGTGCTGGGCGCGGCGGGCTCGACCGGAGTTGTTCCTGGGATCGTGTGTGCTTGACCAACCGTCGAGGTGCAGAAGTCGGGCCTGTATGCCGGGCAATGGCAGGTGGGCGATTCGCAAACATCTCTGGCTGAGTTTCGGACGTCAACGCGTTGTCCTGCTGCGTGTGCAAGGCTTCGGATGAAAAGTTGGAAAAGTGCAAATCTTCAACGTCAATTCCCTTGAGTTGACCGGTGGTCGGCCGTTGGCCAGCGCGGATGGCTGAGAATTCGGAGACCAGTTCGGCGCGGCTGCCCCGCTGAAGGTCCGGTAAGTGATCCCGCTTGGTATGGGTGACATGTTGAAAGTTGTAAGGGCCTGATATTTGCAACTTGCGTCCCGAAACTGGGTCTTCACCTAAGTCGTCCTGTCTTAGAGTTCTGCGACGACCAAAAATTGATGGGATGAAGTGGTCCTTGTTTGTTGTCGAGGCCGGGCCATCCAGGGCAAGCTCACCAGAGTATAAGGAACTTCCAGAGGAACTGTGGTTACCACTGCTTTCCCGCTTCATCTTGGCCCTGCGGTTGAAGATAGTTTTGCCAAAGAGCTGCACGCTCTCGGGGCGGTCTCGGGAAGGCATGCTGCTGGAAGTCGACCGGCCAGAAGAACGTCTTGACAAAGTAATGGTCTCCAGGGTGTGTTCCCACGATCGATCAGAGTTGAGTGAGCGCAGCGAGGACGTCGAGCCAGAGGAGGTGGTTGTATGGCTCTTGTGTTTGTCCAAGGCCGAGGCCCTCTGCATCTGCTTGCTCAAGGCACGAATCCTTTCCGGCGAGGGCGGTCCATCAAGAGCAGGCTCGAACAAATCTGTGATGTTGTCGGGATGGTCTTGGGTTGAGAGAAGAGGAAGGGGAGGTTGTGAGTTGATGGCAGCGGACGGCGATGAGCCACCTTTGTTGCTGATGCTTGCCCTCTCTTTCCTCCGGGTTGGCTTGTAGGCCGAGTAGTACGGCAGTGGAGCGGTAGCCCACATCTTGTTTTCGACTTAATGCAGAGGGCGACGTCAAGCCAGGCGTGCCCCCTCTCAAGGGATCCCCTTCTTCTCCAGCGTGCCGTGAACAGGGTTGAGCAAGTCAAGGCTTTTTCGTTGCTGGTGTTCCTGTTTACTTTTTAAAACTGGGCCGCTCTGGATCTTTGTCTGGTCGGGATCGGGGATGTTATGAGAGAATGCGAGTTGCTTGAATGTGTCTGTGTGAGTGTGGTCTGTGTAAGACTAATAAGAGGTTGGGTTGTGGTGTGTAGGCGTTGCGTTACGTTGCGCCAAGTTGGAAAAGTTTGAATGATAGACAGAGTGAGCAGAGCCGAGAAGGAGGGAAGAGCGCGCACAACAAGAAAACAACAACCGGCATCAACCGTCCAGCGCCCTTTTGTTCGTTCTAAGAGAGCAACAGGTGACAAGAGATCAACCAGACTGTGGGGGAAGCGCTTGGGACTGTAATATATTTAAGATGGTGCTGTTTTCAATGCGTTGTGAGCCGGGGGTCGGGATCCGAACATTGGGATCCGTCGAGCCTGTGAGTTTTTTGAGCGCTCAACGCAGATGGACTGTGGACATGGACCAGACCAAAGGAGAGGGACCAGTCTCCAGAGCCAGAGACCGGGGGAGGGATGTCAGCGCCGCCCCGTCACAACCTTGCCTTGTGCAATGTTCAGAGTCTCTTGCAGAGTCTAGTCCCAGAATGCAACACCGCAGCAGCTCTTCCCCCCTCCCCCCTCCCCCCCGTATGTCCCCTCTTCCAGGATGCCGACAAGGGGTCAGGGGGGATGGAGGGATCTGGCTCTGGAGGTGCTGCCAGGGGTGTGGTGTAGTCGCCCAGGATGCCTTGTTGTGAGGATTGAGGGGGGCTGTCGGCCGATGTGGGTGAGTGGGTGTAAGGCAGGGTACAAACGAACTCTCTCACGCACCCATGAAGCGAGCTGCATCGTTGGTGGTCCGAAGAGACCAGAGAGGAGAGACAGATAGACGGCAGCAGCAAGCAAAGAAGCAAGCAGCAACGCAGTGTTAACAGTAGCAGCAGCATTAGTACCACGCAATACTACTGCCACTACCACTGCCAACGACAACAGCAGCAGCAACCTGGGTCGTGTGAGTGTGAAGGCGGCATGCAGGATGCGGCGGTCCTGAGTGGATGGGCCATTGACGGCCCGGGAGATGCTGGCCGGGGAAGAATGGTCTTGATTATCCCTCCCCTCAAGGCTTGAGACTTTGCCTGCAACCTGCAGACAGACCGATGCACTGCATACTAGCAGTCGTCTGCGTCGCTTCCCAGTCGTGTGCCTAAATTCATTGGGTGAAAGGCGAAGCGTATATGCAGATATGCAACGATAGTAGCAGCAATTATCGCGACCGGCTGGCTAAGGCCGTGCATACTGAACGGAGCGTTTGAAGAGTCGAAGACCCAAGCAGGCTGGCAGACGCTTGGAGCAATATTTGGCCAGTCAGTCGGGATTGGTACGGTAGATGTGATATCCGTATCCTTGCCTTATTCGGTCATAGTTGGACTCCGGCCGCCATACTCTAGACTTTGATGCACTGAACAAATTGTTGAACGGCGGGATTCCGGCAAAGCGAATAGGTAATGTCCTGGTAGCCCCAGGACTGCCTGACTTCCTGCAACAGGTGGAGATGCAGGGACATGAGAGAAGACTTATTAGCACGAGACGAATATGGGCGAGTGGGTAGTGGGTGAAATGATTCCTACAAAAGGAAAAAGGCGGCCTGAATTCAGCCGGAACGCCAAATGACGGAGGGAAATGAGAATTTGATGCATCCGAATATTGTATACGCCAAGTATAGATTGAAAAAGAGTTACGAATCGAGCGCGTCGAGATGCTAGCTAATGGCTGTCATGCACTGTGTGTCGCGTGTGTATGCCGTGCCGTGTATACTCCTGTACATGGCGTCGATTTGTCGTGTCGTCGATACTCGCCACTAATATCGTGTGCCGCCTCGATATATCCATACAATAACGTTGGAGCATGGCGTTCCGATACGAAGATTCGTTGGGCGCGCCTTCATCAAAGGCTTTCACGGTGACAGAGGGAACAGATGCGTAGTCGGTCACTAGTGCGGTGTATGGACCGTGGACTGGCCACTGACCAGAGTTTCTACTTGCAGTTTGCCATGATGCTTGCTTCGCCTTCGAGGTCCACCGCGCGGAAGTCTGGAAGATTTCCATAGTTTTCAGTGGGCGGTTCGAATTGTCACTCTTTTTGTCGTTTTCAGCGTGACGCGTTTCTGCATACACTTGCTTCTTCTTTTCCCTATCATTTCCTTTCTGAGGCCTATTTTCTTCAGGACCGCTCCTGTACCTGTGCGTTGGGCGCGAAGCTGAAAGGATTGCCCCTGAAGCTGGCGGTCGATGGCAGATGGTCTTAGAAACGATCTTGCCCCCAAGTTGACGCCGTCGCCATGACAAGACTCGGAAGCTACGATGTGCCGACGATGGCGGTGCGCTCAGTGGCCGAGAGGCATTCAATACTCTACTGCCTAGTGTCTGTTCGGTAAGTTGTGGTATCAACTCCTATGCACTATTCGAATCAGCCACAGGGACCTTATCGTGTATGTACGCGCGCGTGGTGTAGGTCTCTGCGTGATTGTGCACTACCACTGGCCTGGTTGGTCGGAACAGGGTAATCCTAGCCAAAAGCTGGCAAACCGTCTCTCATGCGTTGCTTGCACAAACCGCTCGCATGTTTGTGGTAAGATTGTTGATGACAGGTCGATCTCTCTACCAAAGAGGTTCCGCCTTTTCACCCAAGAACGTCCCCGTTGGCACAAGTCTCAGAAGCTCGAAAACGACAAGCAAACTCCACGGACCGTGCGTGCAATTTTCACTTATGGGAAGCCGTCCAGTGAATTCAATATGCTCTCGATCGAGTTGATCTCCCAAGATGCTCCGTAGGCGATAACCCATTCGAACCCTGACGTATCGAAAATTTCACCAGTTTCATCCGAACTGGCCAGGCATTTATTTGGCCTCCCAAGCACACAATAAGGTTCTTGAGTCGTGCGTTGAGATGGACGGATAGAAGTTACATCGAGTAGCTGTTTCAACCCATGCTCTGAACGCAGCTCTGACACTCTTCAGATCCCTACCTCGGCAAAAGACAAAGTCGTTGATCTCTTTCATCTGAACTTTGGCACTCGAGGTGAACGTAAGGTTGAGAGCTTTGGCCAGTAAGTGCTCATGGGATGAAGACGTTGCATTACCTGAGGGAAGCTCAGTAAGCTGGCGATATGTCCTCCGTCAACCCTGAGCAGACAATGAAATTGACGATGCTGCTATTTCTGGCAAGATTGCCGATGGTCCAGCCAGTAAATTGGCCTACGGTACCCGTAGGCTGTAACACAGCATCTTTTTCTCGCTGCATGGCTCCTTGCCAGGCTGATTTCGTATCAATGCAGAGATGATGTGAGATGTTTGCAATTGCTCCACATAGCAGCAAATCGTTGATGTCAGATCTGGAAGCAGGTGAGGCCCGCGGGACGTCTCCGTAGCCCAAGTTTTCTTATTTCTCATTGACGTGGCTAGTCCGTGGATACTCATCTGTATGAGGCGTTTGAAGATTTTCAAAGCGCGTCGAGCGGCGCTAGATCCAGATTGTGACAGATCATGATCGACGACTGCCAGAGGGCTGTGGTCTCCGCCAGAGGACTTTCCCAGTGTCAAGAATAGTGAGGAGGTCTGGGTCCATGGACGCTGGAGTGGACACGGTGAACAAGGGACCACGCAATTGTGGGCTTTGTAGGTTGCCGGCCGTACGGTATTGCTTCTTCGTGCGCAGCAGCGCAAGAGAGACCATCCCTGGGGCAGGTTGCGAGCTGCCGCTGGCTGCCGTGTACCATCATCCGGCCTCCGCCATCCAGGTGGTAGTCAATCGGTTGGAAGTCGGGCAGATGCAGGGCGCCGTCCGGCGTATGAGAAACGAAGCGGTCAAGCTCACAACGGAGCCAGCCCCCCGGCCTTCATGGTAAATGCCGTACAATTGAGTGTCTCAAGTTTCAAGACCGACGTTGGCCTGACCGTTAGGTTTGCGGTGGTAACGGGGGCTCTGAGACAGCCCAGTCATTCTGCGTAGCTTGAGACAACGACCGTTATTGGCATTATGGCAGTGCGGTCAGTGGGTGGGCGCGAGGGGACGGGTATACCTCGTTCTCGACCCGCGTGCCAGACTCCCAGTCCCCCGAAGGCCGATACCCTAGCCCCAGATCCACGATTGATTGGCACTGCAAGGCGCAAGAGGGCAAACTCGACTGACAAGCTCTCTCGCGTCTCTTCTGCCCTGTCGATATTTGTCGGTCGGTCGGTTCTGGAATTCCCCGTCAGACCCTGTTCGAGCTAGGTTGCCCAAACGCGAGTGGGCGGAAGAACCCAGCCAGGGTGCGGATACCTTTGAGCAAGGCAAGGCAAGGCGACGCCGAGCCTTGTCCAGGGCAAGCAAGCTCAGGGCTACGTCCAGCTGGCAGCTGGGGCTTGAACTTGACCAGCCACATTTGCTCCACGGGGTTCCCGGAGCTGGTGCATGTCTGCCATGTTGATTTCCAGATCTTATTCCCTATCACACATGTTTTGAGCTCCACGCAAGACCCATCCCTCCCAGATAGTAAGGTCGGTCGGACAGGTCCTTTTGTCAAAAATGTCATCTTTGAGGCGTTGAACCGGAAGATGACGACAGCGGGGTTCGGCTTGGCTTGATTTGACAGAAGGTTTACGGAGTGGAGGGACCAAGGTGAAGAATTGGGAAGCTACTGTGCGTTGCCGTAGTTCGCAAGAAACCGATCCGCGGTGCAAGATCATAAGAAATGCGTTATCAAGCCCCAAATGCTCTCCTGGAGTACTAAATCCTCCTCGCCTGGGTACCTGAGTAGTTGAGCATTGGTCACGTTCCTATGGATAGCTAGCACTCGGGTAGACTGTTAGAGTCATAATCAGAATATGGAGTACACTAACACGCAGGCTTGCTCAACATGAGTGACTTTGTTGACCAGCGCTTCGCACAATTGAGAGAGAGGGGGTTTCCGCAGCCCGAGTAGCGAGAACAGCAACCTGGGTATTTCCGAGTCCGCCGGCCGGGTCTATCTGCCTGTCGAGTATCCCATGGGTATGAGGAACTCAAAGAGGGACTGATTGACTGAGTCGCGAACAAGCCGAGCTTTTGGGACCCTCTGCCCCCCCCCCCCCCATGCTGTTCGCCTTTGCATATGTTGCTCGTGTCTTCTCCATTACGGGCACCGGGTATTGCCAAAGCTCGTCAGAACTCTCGACAGGCATTGGCTACCAAGAATGTCATCCGAGAATGCGCCTTTTTCTTTCCCTCGTTTTTCCTTGCTGGGCAACTCGCTGAGGGTTGGCTAAAGGCGGACCAGAGTTGCGTGCCTGCATACACCCAACGCACAGACGACGGCGCCAGAGCCGTTTTTCTTCTGTTTCCACTGTCCCACAGAGGCGGGACGACTGCCTATTCGCTCAATGGTAGAGGCAATGGAGAAGCAAAGCTGCGGGCTTGACCAGACAGGCGGGGGCCGGGGATGGTGTACGTAGTGTTAGTGGCTCATTGGAGTCTTTCCAGCTCGTATGGCGGACCAGCAGTGAGTGTGACAGTATCCATGGCCATGACCGCAAGATACGCAGGGTAGATCTCTGTACGTATGCTGCTTCGTAATATGCAACTCAATTCAGGTCAGCTCTCAAATCGCGTCTCGCAGCACGGCAGGCGGGTACGTAAGTGACCGAGGGCGACTACGGAGTAGTACACTTATCCAAAGCTGCGTAGGTACGGACGTAGGCCAGTCCCATTTTCGAGGCGAAGGGAGGATGGGGACGGGACGGTGCAGCGGTGCGGCAGAGCAAAAGCAAGCGCACATGGGAGCTTGGCTTGTCTGGTACTGCGTAGCGTATCCGTAGGCCGCCAAGCGAAGCCGAGGCCATCTGCAGGGGCAGCGGACTAGGTACGGCCTGGATATCCAATAGGCATGGCAAGCAAGGTCCCAAAGATGCAGAGTGATGGTGGTGGCTTCGATTGGGTTCTGGCTTCCTGACACTGGCGATGGCCGGACTAGTGGTAGGTACGGAGTACTTCACAGTCAGGTTCTGCGGAGCCCGAGAGACGAGAAATGCTATCCGTATCAGTACAGCCTACTGCCAGGTTCCGCAGAACGGGGCTTTCGGCTGTCCAGTATCGAGCCGGTAAGAAAGAAAGTTTGCCAGGCCCTTATTACGTACCTTGGCTGCTATACGCAACTGGGCGACGCAATGTGCAGTAGTCCGCAGATGACCGTACGCGGTGTGTTCTCTTTTGGAAAGAGAAAAGGAACAAGATCCCGGTCGGATTCCACGTAGTATCGGCCGGCTGGAGAAGGCACCAGGGTTGGCCGAGAGGACGGGAGGGAAATCCAGGGCTCCGGGGATGCGTCGACGAGTGAGAACCTTCAGTTCGGGACAAGAGACGCGGGTGCTTAGGTTGTTGGGATCCCGTATGCCGTATCCTGTATCCCGTATCCTGTGTTCTGGGTTCCTGGGAAGATTACGGCCAGGTGAAGGTCGGATTGGGGACTCGCATCGAAATTACTGCAGACTGATTCAGAACGTTGCTTTGAGGGTTGGTAGCGCGGTTGTAATGAGTCGCTCTGATTGGGGAATTGATTGACATTGAGTTTGCCGGACAGAGTAAAGTGATGGACGGATAAGGCGGGCGAATTGAAGAAACGAAATGAAGCTTTCCAGACGGTCGGATAGTAAGTCATGGCTAGCCTGTCTGGCAGCTGTCTGGTAAATTACATGTCTTTCCGGGACCAAGTGAGGAGAATTTAGCAAATGTGGCGACTGACTGGGGGATGCAGACGCGACAAAAGGGATTACTTAGTGCCATCGTTGCTGTGATCGAACGAACTTGCGGAGAAAGTGCAGTGGGCAACGGGAGTCGTGACATTGAGAATGAGATGAACGCTCTGCCACATTGGGAGAGGAACTATGAACACTCGTGTTTGTTGCACCTGCTCAAATTTCCTCTCCCACCTATGCTTCATTTCTCTATTCGTAAGGTACTTGCCTACCCGTACCTTTCCTGACATTGGGGCATTCGTGCCTTACTCAGATGCAGGCACCTAAGGTGAGGTAAGGTACCTAAGGTACCTTAACTTGCTGCAATTTATTAGGTAGGTAGGTGCGTATCACAAGCTCTATCGGATCGGCAGCTTGCAATCTGATTATGGCCTTCCGCTCTGGCTTTGGCTCCGGCGGCCATGACTCTTACTGGTCGGTCCAAGTGGTCGTTTCCGGAAGGAAGACGGACACAAGGGAAACATGGCAGTCCGGGAAAGCGAAACCCGTTGCGTACGAAGGAGACGTCCAAGGCGGGCACGGCGGGGAGTACCTGGACCAGAGAGGTAGAGACACAGCCTGGGTCAAAAGGAAAAGAGAAGGCACAAGGAGGGAAGGCATGTCGTAAGGTACCTACCTACTCATTGCATATCCTTGCCCATTCCTCTAGGTATGTTATTAGGTAAGACAAGGCAAGGTGCCTGAGAAAGGTACGTGTATTGACGACGGGAGCTCGAGTGCCTGAGTAGGTATCTTGCGCCTGCCAATTTGAACTTCAGTCCCCTTGAGTCCAAGGACTCCTTCCGCCGTTGAGTAACCGTCGCTCCACACCGTTCTCTCCCACGAGTCCCAGTTGGCCCTAGCGTATCTCGAGTATCCACACTTGCACCTGCCTTAGTGTACTGTGTAGACCTGGATTGCTGCAGAAAGCACGCAGACGGCAGCAGCAGCAGCAGCAACAGCACCTTTCTTAGTACCTTATTGTTAAAGAAAGTAGATTCTTTATAAGTTATAAGTATAAAATATAGTTTAATAAAATAGTATAGTACCTATTTAGTACTTGTATTAATATAATTTTTAAGCTCGCTATAAAGAAAAATAATTATATTATTAATTATTTTTATTAGAGTTTGTAACTAGTATTATAGCTTTAATTATCATAGCTTTATTATAATAATTAAAAAGTCTCATTATTAGTTTTTTAAAAGCCTCATTTTAAAAAGTATAAGAGTTATAAAGTTAAGTAATAAAATATTTATTAAAATATTAATAATTAAATTAACCTTATAATAACAACTTTTATATATATATATAAAAGTAGTAATTGATTATAAGGGTGCCAGTAGGTAGGCACGAAGCCCCTGGCTGGGCAACTTACTTAAGCCTACGTATAGTGCATGTTTAGCACGTAGTACTAAAAGTAACTAATCTTTTAAGTCAATTAGCAAGAGCGCAGCATACTACTTGTCTTTTTATATTATTATTAAAATACTCGCTAATATTAAATACATTTCAGGAAGCGTAATAATGCGGCTATAAAGTACTGTTATTTTATTATACATTAGAAATTTATTTTCAATATTAATAAGATATATAAAGCTATATTAATATAGTGCTTTAGCTTTTTTCCAATTAAAAATTATTATTTTAAATAATATTAAAATTTATTAAAAACCATATTTGAATTCTTTAATATATTTATTATTAATTTTATAATAGTAAAACTCTTAATATTTATAAGTAAACTTAGATTACTTACGTTTAAACAATAGTTTTAGTTTATTAATAAACTCTTAAAATTATAATTTTAATACTTCTTTATTAAAAGAGAAGATAAAATAAAAAATTAAGAAAAATTAAAAATTAAATAATACGAAATTCGAGGGCAGGGTAGCGTTTATATATGCTATAGTAATCCTCTAGTAATATAAAACGGTAGTGTTAAACAGCGACTAATAGTACCTTCGACCTCGAGTTTACCCTTACTTCACAGTTTGCGGAGTACGTGGTCCTCTCAACAGTGCGATTGCTGAACTTTCACCGTCCCAAGACGAGGAAGGCAGGATCAGGAAGAGGAACACACGCAGGCAAAATGTGGGAATGGAGACGAACTGCAAGTCGCAACTGCGTGCTGCCCTGAACTCCACGACTCGATCCACTCGACCCAGTCAGAACTCAGGGGTCCTGCGTGTCTGCTCAATCCACCTCCCAGTAAGTGGAGGTAGACGGAATCCACAGACACATGGAACCTGAAAGGAACTTGGGTTGGCAACTGCAACTGCAACTGCAGGTCTACAACTCGTGGCATGACTAACCCACGGCTGGTCAGTCTTTTTGGGGTTTTTCTCGCTCTCTATATTCGTACATGCTGCACACAAATTATCAAGGTACCTGGCCGTTCATTTGCTCGCGAGTTGTCCACTCAATCCATGTGGCATTTTCCATCAACTCCATGAGCAACCCTTGGTCACCAAGCCATGCCTTCAGAGTCCAAATTAAATCCTTCATATTGACACTCGGTTC